CCCCGCTGATGGCCGTGTAGGCCCGGCCGTCGCTGCCCACGATGTAGGCATGGAGGTCGACGTCCTGGAAGCTGACAGCTGCCCGTCCCACCATCACGCTCCCGCTCACCTTCCCGTTGAGGCGATGCACGGCCCCTGGGTGGGAAAAGGGGCAACCCTGGCAGTGGCCACCCCTATGTGGGGTCCCTGTCCCCACCGCTCGCCCCGCATACCTTCGGGCAGGCACTGCCGTCCATTGCCATAGTAGGAGGCCCGGCAGTGGCAGCAGATGCCCGTGGCGGCGTCGGTGCAGAAGGCGTGGGGGGAGCAGCTCCCATGGTGCTGGGCACACGTCTCCCTGCCAGCTGCACTGTAGGTGAACACTGGGGACAAGGGGAAAATGCTGGGGACACGGGGACAAAGCTACCTGGGCACTTTGCCCCATTCTGGTCCCAAAAACACCGTTGGCAGAGAGGACAGCTGTCAGCTTATGGCAAGAAATCAAGTCCCTGCGGATTTTTGGGACACTGCTTGCAGGGACAGGGTTTTGCTCCCCCAGACACGTGCTATCGTGGCTCCCCACCCAGCTTGGTGATGGGGGAGTGGCAGGGCCAGCCCTGTCCCCACGTTGGGTCCCATCCCCTGACCTTCCTGTCCCTTGATCCTGTCCCTCCTGGCAACACAGTGGGTTGGGAAGTACAGCTCCGGCAGCAGGATTTGGCCAAGAGGAGCTGGAAGGGACCCCCTCATCCCTGTTTGGTCACCAGAGGGGCTGCGGCCACTCACCGTCAGGGTTAAAATGGATGTCTTCCTCCACGCCAACGCCGTGATGCCCAGAGCTGTAGGAAGAGGGGTTGGCCAGGAAGCTGTGCTGGGGGCCACTGTCCCCATCGAGGTGCAGCTGGTGGCTCTGCTCCTGCCCCAGGGACACGGGCAGCCCCTGAGGGATGATGCCCAGTGGGGTCAGGTTGGGATGTGATGAGGTGGCCTCCAAGCCGTGCTGTGCCAGCAGCTCCACGGACATGTGGTCTCCACGGGTGTAGTCGGCGGTGCCGGCAGCACGGGGCTGGGGACTCTGCAGCTCCCCACCATCCCCTGGCTCCACATGCTCCAGGGGTGCCGTGCTGCCCACGTGGAAGACCCAGACGCCGGGGACCCCTGCATTGCTCTCCCTGCAGGACAGCAGCACACAATCACGTCCAACATGGCCACGGTGGGAAACTCCTGTCTCAGGACCCCAACCATGAACCCACAAACCCTCACAGAATCATTAAGGTTGGAAAAGACCTCCAAGACCATCAAGTCCAACCGTCAACCCAACACCGCCATGCCCACTAAACCACGTCCCAAATCCCCCCGGCCCCACGCACCGCTCCAGTCGCCTCAGGGCTTGCTCGCTGCTGGCCAGGCTGTGGAAGAGCCCGTCCCTTTTCAGGTCATCGCTGTCCCCCTTCGGGTCATCACCGTCCCCTCGGCTGAAGCCCACCCTGGCCGGCAGCTCCAGCTGGACGTTGTAGGACTCCTTGGGCCGCGTCCCCAGGAACTGGAGGCCGCCGTCAGGGTAGAGGAAGATGGCAAAGGTGTCCTCATCATTGTAGGCTATGACCGCCTGGAAGGTGTTGAGCTGTGGAAGGGAGAGCGAGACAGATGGACGTCATGGGGGGACATGGCCAAATCCCAGCACGCGGTGTCCCTTGGAGATGTCACCCAGGGAGGTGACACCCCTGGACCATGCCCTGCCACCAGCAGCCCTGCTCCGTCCCACCAGCACCAGAGGAAAACCCGCTTCCCCTCCCACACCAGCTTCCCCATAGGAACAATTTTAGCTTGGTTTCCTCCGGAAAAAACACGTATGTGCTTCCCCACACCCATATGTCCCACTATAGGGGATGTGCCAGCCTGGAGAGCCAGGACAGGGGCAGCAATAACCCCTGGAGCCAGCACAGTCCTTATGAGTCAGCAGAAAAGCCACACGCAGCCAAACACTGGGGTCACCCAAAATATGGAGAAACCAGCATTTGGGCCAGCCTCCCCCCCATCCTCCTGTCCCAATAAATAAATATAAGCACATATAACTAATAGGAATAAATATAAGGAGCAGCAGCAAATGGGGAGTGGCACCCGAGGGAAAGAAAAATCCCGATTTCACTCCCAAAGCAGTGGGCAGAGGGGTGGGGGCTCTCCCCTGTGGCAACCCCCTGCCTGTCCCCGCAGCGCCAGATCCAGTTTTGGGGTGAAGAGCCTCCGGGGCATGGCAGGGTTTCCCAGCGGGATATAAAGGGCCTTGTTGTGTGCATCGCACACTCGGGCATTCAGAGACCCCGCACGAAGGCGGCCAAAAAGCTGGGGGGGGGGAAACGCCCCTGTGCAGGGCCAAATTCCTCCCCCACGCAGCCAAATGGCGGCGGCAGCTGCAGGACTCGTTGTGCCTTGCAGTGGGCGACGAGGGGGGGGACACGGTGGGTGACACCGAGGTGACACTGCAGGACGCGGGGCAGAGAGCAAGGGGAGGGGGGACGACCATGGGGCTGAGCCCAGCAAAGAGCTTCAAAGGGCAAATTCCAGCCCAAAGGGCAATTTTGGCTTCCCACAAAGGGTAGCATTTCAAAAAATGCCATGTTTGGTGAGAAAAAAGTGGTGTTTGGGGAGGTTTTTAACAGTTTTGGTGAAGGGGGAGTTCGGCAAAGCACAGGCACAAGCTGTGTTTCAGGGTGTCCCGAATGGAGCATTTCCAAAAAAAGACCGGTTTCATTTTAAAACCCCATCCAACTTCTCAGAGAGGGAAAATAAAAAAAGCCCCAAAAAGCTGAGAGGAGAAGAGGAGGCTGTGGTTTTGATGGCTGCGAGGTCACTGCGAGGCCCCTGATGGCATCTCCTCAGCTGCTTTCCCAAAGTTTGAAATGAGAGGAAAATATGTGCCTTGTTTTCTTCCAAACCTCTGTTCCTTCCCCAGTTTGGCTTCCTTCTGCAACCCGCCACTGAAGGGCCCCACAGTGGGGGGATGGCCAGTGGATATGGCTCCTGGTGGCCCACAGGGACCTGGTCATAGGCTTTGGGTTCGGCCCATCCCATCGCATGGCTTTGGGTGTCCATCCCAAGGATTGTCCCCTCTACGCCCAGCTTGTTTCAAGGAGCCCGTCCTGCCGGCCCCGCATCACCGTCACCTCATCAATGCATCATCGGCTGAACGTGATGGTTCCTGCCCTGTTTTCGGGGAAAGGCAGCGCTGGGAGGTTCACCAGAGTGCGCCCACGCAGAAGCCTTATCAGCCCATGGGTGGAGAGCACAGGTCACCTCCCTGACCTGGTGGACCACCTCTGAGCTTGTTTTCCAGCCATAAAATCAACCCGTGGTGGAAACTCCCCACCGTCAGCATTTATCAGCGCGTGGGCAGAAGGAAGGACCAGCCCCAGGCCACAGCAAAAGGTCTGGAGCCCAATGAGTGACCCAGCTTCCCCTGGCCCAAATCTGCAAATCCAGAGCCACCAGCACTGAAAAGCAGGGAAAAGCCTGAGCACCTCCATCCATGTTGAAGGAAACCTCTAAACTTCTTCTGCCCATCAGCAAATCCAACAGACCCACCACTGCTGCAGAGGAGAAGCTCCATGTATTCCCAATGCTCACTCAAGGTTGGAGCCACCATCTAGCTGCTCCGAAAGAAGACATGGAGCATTTTGGGTACTACAGAAGGGAGACTCATCCTCTCACGACACATAAGATGGGCATTCAACTTCGGCCCTTCAGCCTCACCTTTCTGGAGGGCTCAGTGTCCTGCAAGAGCTCCTGGTAGGCGCCCACATCCTCCCAGGTAGCGATGAAGGCATTGGTGGGCACGAAGGAGCTGGCAGTGCGGGGGAACCCAGCGTGGATGTAGCCCGCAGCCTGGTCCAGCACGTCTGGAGAGTCATCTTGGCGGTAGTAAATGCTCCCTCTGTCACCGGAGGTGTCGAGGTCGGCCAGGAAGGGAGCGATGACAGGGAAGTCTGTGGGGAAATCGTCATCCACGTACTGGGTCTCCCTGGGGAAATCCTGGGTAGAGATGACCCCGTTGGTCCCCACCTGCAGGGAGAGTGGCGCAGGGTGCTCAGGAGCTGCGGAGGTGACTTTGTCACTGCTCCCCCACTGGGTCCCCCCTCTCGCTGGCAGAGTGGGACATGGGGCTGAGGGCCCTGAGACTGCATGGCCCCATCCGGCCAGGGAGTAAACAAAGACCTCGGGCTTCTCTGTCCCCCTGGGAGCTGCAGCTCAGGGGCCGTCCCAGCTGCTGGTGGGGAAACAGCTGCAGAGGAGAAAGCCCTCTTGTTCCTCCACAGCCTGAGAGGCCGGGCAGGAGCCAGTGGGACCCGGGTGGAGGGGGGAGATGGAGGGAGAAGAGGGATGGACGGAGGAAAAAAGGGATGGAGACAAGGGACAGAGGGAGAAAAGGGATGAAGGGAGAAGAGGGATGGAGGGAGAAAACACACGTGCAGGGGTGGGGAGAAGGAGAGAGGGGAGATAGGTGCCAAGGGGAGAAAGGGTGTGAGCAGGAGGAGGGAGGGGAAGACGGAGGGGGGAGATGAGGAGGAGGAGGGAGGGATGGTGGGACAGAGGGATGGGGAGGAGGAGGGTGGGAAGGTGGTGGGACCAGGAGGGGAGGAAGGAGGGAGGGATAGGATGGAGGGATAGAAGCATGGAGGGATGGGAAGAAGAGAAGGACGGGAAGGAGGGAAAGGTGGAAG